GCATTATTCTGTGGTCTTCTAGCTTCCATTTTTGCTGTTAAGAAATCACCTGCCAGCCTAATTTTGTGTTTCCTCTTTGGTTGTTTTAAAGATCTTCTCTTTGTATTTGGTGTTTTATAGCTTTTCTACTATTTCTCTAAATATATATTATTCTTCCTTTTTCTGGTATTTTAAAAAATTGAGATATAAATTATATCTAGTAAAGGATAAAATCTTAAGCATATAGCTAAATGAATTTTTATGTATGTATACATCAGTGCATCCACCACCCATATCAATGTATAGAATATTTCCAACATTGAAAAAATTCTCCCATGCCCCCTCTCAAGCAGTACCCCTTAAGTACAAAGACTCTTCTGACCTCTATCACCAAAGATAAACTTTACCTGTTTTTGAAGTTCTTATAAGTGCAATTATGTAGAATTTATGTCTGTGAGATTTTCTACGTTGTGTGTTTCAAGCGTCCGTTCTTGTTTATTGATGTGTAGCTTGATGGATCTGTGGTGATACTGAGTACCTCTTTGTATGTTTTTGACCACCTTGCTACCCTATTTTTATTGAAATGTCCACTGCTGTGGTTTGAATATTCGTTCCCCCCAAAACTCATATTGAAACTTAATCCCCAATGTGGCAATATTGAGAGGTGGGGCCTTTAAGAGGTGATTGGATCATGGGAACTCTGCCCTTGTGAATGGATTAATGGGTTAATGGATTAATGGGTTATCATGGGAGGGGCACTGGTAGCTTTATAAGAAGAGGAAGAGAGACCTGATCTAGCAAGTTAACATGCTCAGCTGCCTTGCTATATGATACCCTTGGCTGTGTCAGGACTCTAGAGAGTCCCCACCAGCAAGAAGTCTCTCATCAGATGCAGCCCCTCGACAGTGGACTTCTCAGCCTCCATAACAGTAAAAAATATTTTAAAATAAATTACCCAGTTTCAGGTATTCTGTTATAAGCAACAGAAAATGGACTAATACGTCCATTCATAAAATTCACCTGTTTTTATTGGTTTATTTATCCTTATATATTCTTGATGTTAATGCCCTCCAGGCAAAGGCCACCAGGAATATCCCTGTAATTGAAAAAAATTGAGTTTATTCTTCTCTGCAGCAAAGGAATACACACCATGGAGAACTGTATAGGGCCTCCAAGTAAGAGGGTGTTAGAAAATATTTATTGCTGGGCGTGGTGGTTCACGCCTGTAATCCTAGCACTTTGGGAGGCTGAGGCGGGCGGATTGCTCAAGGTCAGGAGTTCGAAACCAGCCTGAGTAAGAGTGAGACCCCGTCTCTACTAAAAATAGAAAGAAATTAATTGGCCAACTAAAAATATATACAAAAAATTAGCTGGGCATGGTGGCGCATGCCTGTAGTGCCAGCTACTTGGGAGGCTGAGGCAGAAGGATTGCTTGAGCCCAAGAGTTTGAGGTTGCTGTGAGTTAGCCTGATGCCATGGCACTCTAGCCCAGGCAACAAAGTGAGAGTCTGTCACAAAAAAAAAAAAAAAAAAAAAAATCTTTGCTTAACCCAATATCATGAAGATATCCTCCTGGTTTTCTTCTAAAACCTGCTTGATTTTGATTGGGATTGCATTGAATCTAAAAGTAAATTTGGGGAGAATAGGGAGAATATATATTGTAACAATTTTGAGTATTCCAATTCATGAACATCATATATCCTTTCGTTTATTTAGTTGTTTAATTTATTCTAGTAATATTTTGTAGTCTCCAGTGTTGAAATATTGCAACTATTTTATAGATTTACTTCTAGATATTTGGTACTTTATAACATTATCACAAATGGTATTGTTTTGTTAAATTTTATTTCCACTATTTTGTTGTTAGTAAATAGGAATTCAATTAAATTTTATGACAGCTTTATTGAGATAAGATTCACATACCATAATGTTCACCTTTATAAAGTGTACAAGTTAATGGTTTTTGGTATGTTCACAGAGTTGCACAACCATTATTATCATTATGTAATTTTAGAACATTTCCATCACCCCAAGAAGATACCCTACATCTCCCCATTTTCCCCTCCCCCAAGACCCAGGAAACCACTCAATAACTTTCTACCTCCATATATTTGCCTATTCTGGAAATTTCATATAAATAGAATCATTTTGTTTATCTATTCATCAGTTTATAGACTTTTGGCTTCCACTTTTTGGCTATTACGAATAATGATGCTATGAACATTCATGTACAAATTTTTGTAAGAATGTATATTTTCAATTCAATTAAAATTGCTGGGTGGGTCATATGGTACTTATGGTAACTCTATGTTTAACATTTTAAGGAACTACCAAACTGTTTCCCACAGCTGCTGCACCATTTTACTAGCAACTTATGGGGGCTCCAATTTCTCCACATCCTCACCAATGCTTGTTATTATCTGGTTTTTATTTTTATGTATTAATGCTGTGTTCAGTGAAATTGATAACTTCATTTATTATGTCTAATTGTAGATTTGTTTGGATTTTCTATGTGTGCAGTCATATCATCTTCAAATAATGACATTTATTCTTTTCCAATCTTAATACCATTTATTCCCTTCTATTGGCTAATTGCACTAAGACCGCCAAGACATTATGAATAAAAATGGCGATAATGGGCAATTTTGTCCAAGAAAAGCATTTAATATTTAACCATTAAATGTTAGCTTAGGTGTAGTTTTTTTCCTAGATAACTTTAACTTTATCATTTTAATGAACTTTCTGTCAAATGATTCAGAAAAATATGTATACAGATATATTATATATATATACATATATGTTGATGTATATGTATATCATGATTCATATTATTAAGAAAATATACATTATATATATTTTATAGGTATATAGATAGAGGGAGAGAGAAATAACAAATAAGGTAAAGGGATATAGGAGTTGCTTGAACAATTTTTGCAACTTTTCTGCAAATGTAAAATTATTATCCATATTTCAAAAAGAAGACAAAAGGAAATATATATACATATGTGTATATATGTATGTATATACATATATATGCATTTTCCTACTGATGACACTTATGTTTCTTCAAATTTTCAACTATTACAAACAAGGCTGCTGCTTATGGTCTATAGGTTATTTATTTCTGAAGTGCCCATTACCAAGTGAGTGACTGAGGATACAATCTAGCCCCTATCTAGCCCACCAATAGGATGCTTCCACACTTAATAAGGGTTGCTCTTTATAAAAGCACAAAAATACTATCAGCTTGCCAAGCTGTGAAACTATGGGGCTGCCTTCACCAAGAGGAGGCAATTTAGACAAAGGTATTATAAAAGTTAGCAGAGGCCCTAATCATACATATATTTTTTTGAAATACTGCAGTCGACATCCTTGTTGGAACTGCTTTGCTGTAGGGTATGTTTGTTAAACTTTACAAGGCATTGCCACACTCATTTCCAATTTTGCTGTATTAATCTACACTGTCACAAGTAGTATATGAGAATTCTCATTTTCCCATATCCCTTCAACAGTTGATAAAGTCATTATTTTTACTTTTGCCAATCTAATAGTTTTGAAATGAGATCCCATTTTTGTTCCATTCAAAATCTCTCTAATTACTAATGTGATTGTGCATCTTTTCAAACATTCGTTACTTGGAATTGATTATTCATATTAACTTCCATTTATCCCTCCAGATCCACTCTCCACGCTCCTCCACCCTGCTCTATGCCCAGAGGCTGACCTTTACGAACTGCATAAACAGCTCTCTTGCCCTCTGGCTTCTGGTTGAGTTGAGCCAATGAAGAGCTCCTCTCTACCTGATTAAGAGGTGTCCATGGCTGAGTTCTTCTATCAAAGGCCACAGGTCCTGTCCAGGGATTGTCTTCTATAACTAGAGCTTTCTCTGTGTTCCAGTAACCACTCCCTGCCCTTACCGTGCCCTTACCTTGGTGAGAGGTAACAGCTCTCCATTGTTGCTAGATCCCAAATAATTTAAAATCTCTTGGTGTATTAGTCAACTATTGCTGCAATAATGCTGTATAAGAAATTTCCCTCAAATTTATAACAGCCATTAGTGCTCCTTGCTCATGTGCTATGGGCCATCTGGGGCAGTTTTTGAAAACATGGAAACCTCTTTCAAAAAACTTTTCCACAGCTCTTCACGTTGCCTTGGCAAAAATCGGATCAAGATCTATTTTCTAAGGCCATAAAACTGACTAGTTTACGCTGGGCATGGTGGCTCATGGCTGTAATCCTAGCACTCTGGGAGGCTGAGGCAGGCAGATTGCTCGAGCTCAGGAGTTCGAAACCAGCCTGAGCAAGAGCGAGACCCCATCTCTACTGTAAATAGAAAGAAATTAATTGGCCAACTAATATATATAGAAAAAATTAGCCGGGCATGGTGGCAAATCCCTGTAGTCCCAGCTACTCGGGAGGCTGAGGCAGAAGGATTGCTTGAGCCCAGGAGTTTGAGGTTGCTGTGAGCTAGGCTGACACCACGGCACTCACTCTAGCTTGGGCAACAAAGCAAGACTCTGTCTCAAAAAAAAAAAGTCCTCATTTGGCACTGGATGATTGGTTGCCAGTAAGGTCTCCATCCCCAAGACCACCACAAAACTCAATCTTTCATTTTAAATGCAAGAGTCAACATCAGCCACAGGCATACAGCTTTTGAATAAGATATGGTTCTCATTTACAGGACAAGGGAGGAAAAGGTGCTATATTCATTGAGACTCAATTATTTTTCAATAGTGTCTGACATTTATTGAAAATAAGGAAAAGACATTTGTACATGGCAGAGTGCAGGAGTTCTTGTGTTGAACAAAAGGCACACATCAGAGACAGCTGCAAACTGAAAACAGAAATGGATTCTGAGCAAAACTAATTCGTCCACAGGAGAAAATGAGTGACTGGATTTGGCCACCAGGCACACCTCGGCCCTGACAGCCATCTGGCAAGAACACAAGAGTTTTCTAGGAGTAGGGATGAAATGGGTCCTGCTGCAAGTGAAAGGTTAGCTGGTCCCTTCAGCTCAGATACCTTCGAGGTGAGTCCAGATCACAAAAGGCGGCAGTCTGGCAGTAGGACGCAGTGGATAGCGACAGCAGTAGCAGCGACAGCGCAGGTGTGTGGGCAGAAAGACGCAGTAATCTGGCAGGGGGGCCGTGGGCAGCGACCGGCTGCGGGTGGTCTGTCCAGTGTGTAACAGGAGCCCAGCTTGCAGCTGGAGCACAGGACAACGTCCAAATGTGCATGGGAGGGGCTGGGCTGGCAGGAGAGGGCGGCGGCGCTCTCCAGAGTGAGGCCCAGAGGAAGCAGCGCCAGCCTGGAGCGCTATTCCTGGAACAAAGGCAAGCACAATGCGGGAGGGGACAGCAAGGCAGGGGAGATTCAGGCGACTCCAGATGTGGGGAGGGAGGTGTGGCGGGAGGGCGCTGCTGGCGACCCTGGCAGCAGCAACTGGCACAGAGGACCCTCCCCAGAGCACCCGCCCCCAGGCCCGAGGGTGTCTCGGCCTAGAAGTCCTCGTCCTCCTCCCATCCAAAGACCCGCTTCATCTCGGCCAGAAAGCCCCGGTAATCTTTGAGGAGGGGGCTGTTCTTCTTGATGTAGGGTATCACCCACTGCAGGGCGGGCCCCGTGAGGCGGGTGATGAGGAACGTCACCTTCAGGGCGTCGCTGGAGAACGTCTTCTCGTCCACTAACATGTAGGAGCCCGTCTGCACGATGAACTCCGGGAGCCGGTCGGTATCGCCGTCAAACGTCTCGGGAAAGGGAATTGGGTTCCTCCACCGACGCCTGGAGCGCCGGATGGGCAAGGCCAGAAGGGCCTTTATCAGCTGCACCCGACTATCCATTGCGCTGCGCTCGCTTCGCTGTGCTCCGCTGGGCTGCACTGGGCTCTGTGGAGAGGTCAGCACCCAAGCGTCGCCGGAAATGCGTGTCCGCGAAGGCGGGTCCAGGCCCAGGATAGGCCTGGCCAAGGGCGGGGCTCTGGCGTATAGCGGGCTCCGCCCATAAAGCGGGTAGTTACTAGTGCGCAGGTGCGTCACGGCACAAGCAGAGGAAGGGGAGAACCCGGGGACGTGCCTAACGCTCGCGAGAAGTCGGAGTCAGATCGGAGGGGCGGTGCCTACGCTCCTAAGGCCGGTAGGCGAGGGACCAAGAGCTGGGGAGGAGCCCAGGAGACCTAATGGTGTAGTGGGAGAGCGGAGCTCACTGCAAGGGGATGTAAGGGTCCAAGTTCTGGCAGTCAAGGAGGTCTCCTGCTCCACCTCTCCCTTCCTCTCAGCCTTTACGTATTCCTTCCGGGACCTTCAGCTCTGTACTCCACTTGAATGAGGTTCTGTGAATTCATTTTCTTCTTTTTCATGCGTCTCAGCTAGATTACTGGCTCCATGGCTGCAGATGTGGTAGCTTTGCAACATTAATAGGAAATTTCCAAATACTAGCAAATATAATCCAGAGCAGTATATTCGAGGAGTAATTCTCCATGAGCAGATAATGTAAGGAGGGTTAAGTGTTAATAAATCTCTTAATTTGTTATAAAAGCTGCTCATAATTCTCTGTCTACCGCCCTGTCCGTAGGCAGTTCACAACACGACAGCTTGCTTCTTCAATATTATTATGGTATTAATTTTCCCCCAATTGATCTATAGATTTAATCAAAATCCCAGCAAATTTTTTAAAAAATAAAAAGTAATTGATTCTAAAATTCATAGGGAAATGCAAAGTACATAGACTAGCAAAAACAGCTTTGAAATAGAAGAAGTAAGTTGGAGGACTAATACTATTTGATTTCAAAATTTATAATAAAGTTACAGTAATTAAGGCAATGTGATATTATTATCAAGATAGACAAATACAGTCATCTTTGGTATTCACAGGGGATTGATTCCAAGATCCTGGCAAATACCAAAGTCTGAGAATGCTTAAGTCCTTACATAAAATGACATATTTGCATATAGCCTATGTACAACCTCCCATATACTTTAAATCATGTCTACATTACTTATAATATGTAAACTAAAGAAAAAATCAAGCTTTTAAAGAATTAAAATTAGTTTTATTCAGAAATCTTAGTGAGGACTGTAGAATGAGGCCTATAGCCCCGGAGCAGCCCTTTAGAGAGGTTCTATTAGACTGTTTCATCACAGAATTTCAGCCCACTACTTATGTACAGGTGGTAGAGGTTCCATACATGCAAACCCATCAAACTTGCTTAGAAGTTACATTAAGTCAAAATAACAGCAAGATTTGAATATGGTTATAGATTACAGAGGCATAATCACTAACCCCATTTATCTTTTAAAGAATATAGTGACTCACGCAAGAGACATGGTGGGTGGTTCGTGTGCTTTATCCTGTTTTGCCTTCAAACCATCCCTCCAGAGATCTGTATGTAGTCACAGAGTCAGGGGGTTTGTGAAATTAAGTTGGCAAGCAGAAATGAGCAAATACAGCCTCCTACATTTGTTACTTTCTTTCACAAATACCTAATACAATGTAAATGCTATATAAATAGTTATTATACTATATTTTTAAATGTTGTATATTTTTTATGTTGTATTGTTATATATATATTGGGTTCCTCCCCTGAATATTTTCAATATGCAGTTGGTTGAATCTGCAAGTGCAGAGACTACAGATACAGAGGGCCAACTGTTGATGAATGGGGACTGAATATGGAATTCAGAGATAGACCCACACATATATGGACAGCTGATTTTTGACAAAGTTGTAAAAACAATTCAGTAGAGAAAGGATAATCCTTTCAACAATGACACAGAAAGAATTGGATATCTATTTACAAAAAACAAATTTTGATCCATATCTCATACCATATATAAAAATTGACTCAAAGAGGTTAAAAGACCTAGTGGTAAAATATAAAATTATACAACTCCTGGAAGAAAATAGGAAAAAACTTTGGCAACCTTAGATTAGACAAAGATTTCTTAGCTATGACACCAAAAGCAGAACACATAAAAGTAAAATTAGGTAAACTTGACTTAATTGGATTTAAAAGCTTGTGTTCTTCAAAAGACAGTGTTAAGAGGATAAAAACACAAGACACAATATGGGAGAAAATATTTGTAAATTGCATATCTAATGAAGTCATGAATACAGGATATATAGAACTCTCAAAACTCAAGTGTAAAAGTCAACAACCTGATTAAAAATGGGGAAAATAATTTGATGAGACACTTCACTAAAAAAGATAAATGTATGGCAAATAAACACACAAAAAGATGTTCAATATAATTAATAATTAGAAAATTGCAAGTTAAAACCACAATGAGTTACCACTTCACACCTATTAGAATGGCTGAACTACACAAAATCAAACAAGCAAACAAAAAAACCAAAACAAAACCTGAAAATAAGTCTCAATGAGTTTTCAGAGCAACTTAATCTCTCATATATTGTTGGCGGAAATACAGAATGTCAAAGCCACTCTGGAAGACATTTTTGGCATCTTATACGGTTCTTTCATGTAACTTTACAGACTATAATTCCTCCTCCCTTGAGATACCCACTATTTTGAATTCTATAATTATTTAGTTTTGCCTATTTTTGACATTGATATAAAGTGGAATCATAAAGTATATACTATTTTGTGCCTCACATCGTGTACTCAATGTAATATCTGTACCATTCATCCATATTGCTGTGTGTACTAGTATAGTATTCCATTTTATGAATATGCCATAATTTGTTTATCCATCCACCTAATCTAGTAATGTATTAAAAGGATAATACACTGTGATTAAATGAAGTTTATCCCAGGAAAGCAAGGTTATTTTATCAATCAAAAGCCAGCCATGATCTACTATACTAACTGAGAAGATGAGTGTAGTAGACATAATGATATCCCCCAAAAATGTCCACATCCTAATTTCCAGAACCTGAGAATATAAAGCAAGAGAGAATTAAAGTTGCAGGTGGAACTAAAATTGCTAATCAGTTGCATTTAAAATACACAGTTTATCCTTGATTATCTATTCATATAAACTCTTTGTTTTTTTCTCTTTGTCACCCAGGCTGCAGCCTTAACCTCCTGGGCTCAAGCAATCCTCCTGCTTAGGCCTCTTAAAGTGCCAGGATTACAGGCATGATCCACTGAGCCTGGCTGATCTCTTAAAAGTGGAAAGAGGTAGAATGTGTTAGAGATATGCCACATGAGAAAGACTTGAACCACCATTGCTGATTCTGAAGATGGGGGTAGGGGGCCATGAGTCTATAACTGTGGTGTCCTCTGCAAGCTGGAAATAGTCTTCATTTTACAGAGCAAGAAAATGGTACCTCAGTCCCACAACTACAAGGAACTGAATTCTGCCAATAGCCTGAATGAATAGGAAAAGATTATCCCCTAGATTCTCCAGAAAGGAACGTAGCCTCCCAATACCATGTTGCTCTAGTAAGACCCATATCCAACTTCTGACCTACATAACAGTAAGATGACAAATTTACATTGTATTAAACCACTGAATTTGTGGTAGTTTGTTAAGACAGCAATAGAAAGCTAATACAAAGAGAAAATCCATATGACCATCTGAATAGACACAGAAAATGCATTTGACTTATTTCATTTCACTTACTACTATTAAGAAATAGATAAAATTCATGGAGGGTATCTTTGGAGGAAAGATATATCACATTTAGTTGTGCTGGTGTCACCTTTTTACTGAATACTATGTATGGATGCTTGTAGAAGTGCATGCTACCCTGCTCCTCAAGACTTACATAACCCAGCCAACACAAATGTGTTCAAAGTATCTATGGCAAACATGTGATCAAAGTACACATCATCAGTAATAAAATATACTGACATCATGGACATTTTGATATGATACACTGAGACACAACATCTTTTCTGTGGCATACTGGCAAAAATAACTCATTCTAATCACGAGAAAACATCAGATAAATGCAAATCAAGGGACATTTCACAAAATGATTGCTCAATAATCTCCAAAAGAGTCAAAACCAAGGGTCTGCAAAGGAAGACAGAAGGGCAGATAACAGGGAACAGAGAATAGATACACCAGTCTGACTACTCAGCTTCAAATGATTGTACACTCTACTCTCAAAGCACAATGGGCATGGACCTCAGCAAAAAACTCCTTGGCACCCCACTTGTAAAGCCTCAGTCCTGCCCCTCTGATCTAACTCCACCTTCTTGAAGAGTTAGGCTCACCCCCATGTACACCCCCTTTGTATTCACCCCCACCATGCACCCCCACTTCTGGCAACTGTTAAGTGGGAACATACAGCCTGGTCCATAGAAAGTCCTGAAGAAATAGAAGCAGTTATCCACAAACCTCAAGAATTCCCAGTTTCAAAATTCCTTGTTCTTTTGGAAAACAAACAACAACCTGCCCATTCATTCATTCATTTTTGCTGATCCTGATCTAAAAATAAATGTGGGAAGTACCAACCTTCTCCTTCCAAATCTCACCAAGTGTCTGTTTTTCTAAGTTGCTATGAACTTGCAAAGCTGGGTTGGAATAGTTCATAGCCTAATGGGCAACTCATTCCTTAACAAAAGATGATAATAGTAGGAATATAAATAAAGTTCCAGTTGTAACAGGAGATCAAGACAGGAGATTATTTGAATTCTAGGGCAGGACATGAGATTTTTTCAACTTGAGTCCCTCTAGACTGAATAACAACAGTAGGCTTGCTGACACCAGCAGCCCAAGATCTCTATGACATCCTGAAATCGCTAGACCTTGTACATGACCAAATATTATATCTCTAACTTGAAAAGTCATTTCAAAAAAAAAGATAAAAAGTGAGTATATCAGTCTTTATATTTTACTATTGCAGAAAATACTAGTACAATCAATTATCTTCTTCATAAATAAATCCATAGAGTTTCAGTCAAAGGCCTTGCCCTGAGGTGTCATTATAATCCATTCTCCTTCCATCACTTATATAAGG